AAAAAAAAAAAAAAAAAAAAAAAAAACCCATACAAATCAAACATAGTTTTAAATTATTAATCAGAAAGGGAGAGTTACATGTGCACACATGCACATACAGAGACTTTTTTTTTAGTTGAAGTCCCACTCTATCACCCAGGTTGAAGTGCAGTGGCATAACTACAGCCAGTGCAGCCTCAACCTGCCTAGCTCAGGTGGTCCTTCCACCTCAGCCTTCCAACCAGCTGGGAAAATGGGCATGCACCACGACCGGTTAATTTTATTTATTTATTATAGAGATGAGGTCTTGCCATGTTGCCCAGACTGGTCTCGAACCCCTGGGCTCAGGCAATCCTCCCACCTTGGCCTCCCTAAGTGCTGGGATTACAGGCATGAGCCACCACACCTGGCCAGAGATGTCTGATTCTAGACACATGCAGACCAATACAGCACCCACTAGCTACATATAATGATTTATATTTTTATTTTAATTAACTAGGGAATATCTGTGAGTCTGCTCCAGAGCAGGAGCTACCCAATCTAAAATAATAATAAAGACATAAATTTTAATTAAAATAAAACCTAAAATTCAGAGCCTCAATCACATAGCCACATTTCAGCTACTCAGTGTAGTCAGTGACTACCATTTTGTAAAGCACAGACACAGAATTCTTCCATCATCACAGAAAGGTCTACTGGACAGCACTGTTCTAGATTGCCAAGTTTTAGTCTTCAGTCTTACCAAATCCAAAAGGCAGAAAAAATATGTTGATGTAACAGTATAAGAAGGGAAAAGAATCTATGAAAAAGAGAAAGGAAAATAAAGTAGGACTCCTACACAGAGAAGGACCTTGGCCATGGGCTGGACACTGCCCCAACAAGGGACCCATGGTCCCAGTAGACACAGCTGAAGGAGGGGCAACAAGGATACTGTAGAGCTTTCGGTCCTTGGATTCAGAGCGCATGCGGCTCAGCTGCTGCTTGTGACAGCGGAGGCTCCAGGGGTTGTGGCTGATTTTCTCAGAACTCAGACCGCTGTTGCCGTCTAGCATCTGGAAAGGGACCTCTGAATGACTGTGTAGCTCTACCTTTGGACTCTTTGCCTCCTGTGAGCTAAGAAGGAAGAACATACACATTGTTAAGGAACTCAGGCAATTCATCCTTTGGGGTCTCACAGCACAAGGTGGGAAGGTGTGAATCAAGCCTAATCTAGACCCACAGACCCTGCTGATGGGTGACACAAGAGTCCCAGTATGTAAGCCAATACAGTAAGTGTTATGAGTAGGGTTCTTCCTATGTCTCTGAAAAATAAATTTTTGTCAAATTATGTGAAGAAGATACCACACTTCACATCCATTAGGATGGCCATTATCAAAAGAAAAAACTGAAACAAGTGTCCAGGATGTGAATAAACTGTAAACCTCATATGTTGCTGATGGAAATGTAAAATGGTACAGTACAGCTACCAAAACAGTTTGGTGGTTGCTTAAAAAGTTTTTTTTTTTTTTTTGAACTAGGGTTTCACTCTGTCACCAAGGCTTCAGTGCAGTGGCATGATCACAGCTCATCGCAACTTTCACCTCCTGGGCTCTGACAATCCTTCTGCCTCAGCCTCCCAAGTAGCTGGAATTACAGGCGTATACCACTACACCCAACTAACTTTTTTCTTTTCTTTCTTTTTTGAGTTGGAGTCTCACTCTGTCACCCAGACTGGAGTGTAGTGGCACGCTCCTGGCCACCGCAGCCTTGACCTGCTGGCCTCAGGTGGTCCTTCTGCCTCAGCCTTCCAAGTATCCAGAACTACAGGCACGTGCATCCACGCCCGGCTAATTTTTTATTTATTGTAGAGACGAGGTCTTGCCAAGTTGCCCAGGTGGGTCTCGAACCTGCCAGATCAGGCAATCCACTCGCCTCAGCCTCCCAAAGTGCTGGGATTACAGGCTGAGCCACCAAGCCTGGCCACTTTTTTATTTCTTTGTAGAGACGAGGTCTTGCTATGTTGCCCAGGCTACTCATGAACTACTGGACTCAAGCAATCCTTCCCAACTCAATCTCCCAAAGTGCTGGATTATAGGTATGAGCCGTTATACCTAGCCAGCTCAAAAAATTAAGCTCAGAACTGTATAACTCAGTGATTCCACTCCTAGATGTATACAGAAAAGAACTGAAAACAGGGATTCAAAGAGATACTTAATGCCAATGTTCATAGCAGCATTACTCATAATAAACAAAAGGTAGAAATAACCCGTGTCCATCAACAGATGAATGGGTGAACAAAATGTGGTATATACATGCAATGGAATATTATTTAACTATAAAAAGGAATGAAATACTGATGCATGCTACAATGTGGATGAACTTAAAAACATTTTCCAAGTGAAATAAGCCAGACACAAAAGGACAAATATACTTTCACTCAGATGAGTTACTGGCAAATTCATAAAGACAGAAAGTAGAATAGTGGTTGCCAGGGGCTAGGAGAAGGAGGAATGGGGAATTAGTTACTCAACAATATGAATGTACCTAATGTCACTGAATTGTACACTTAAAAATGGTTAAAATAGGTTGGGCGCGGTAGTTCAGCCTGTAATCCCAGCACTTTGGGAGGCTGAGGCAAGAGGATTGCCTGAGCCCGGGGGGTTCGAGACCAGCATGGGCAACTTAGTGAGACCTTGTCTCTACAATAAGTCACAAAAAAAACTAGCTGGGCATGGTGGCATGAGTCTGTAGTTCCAGCTACTTGGCAGGATGAGGTGGAAGGACTGCCTAAGTCCAGCAGGTCGATACTGCAAGTGGCCATGAGCATGCTACTACATTCCAGCCTGGGTGACAAGAGTGAGATTCCAACTCAGAAAAAAAAAAGGTTAAAACAGTAATTTTATTTTATACATATTTTATGATAATAAAATTTTTTTTTAATTATGTGACAGAGATGCAGTTTCACAGTAAACAAATGAAGGGTGCAACATGGGATGCCCATCAAGGACATGAGTAACTCTCTTATCTTTGTCTACAACTTCTACAATAGCTTCCTTTAATAAGATTTAAAGAAAGCATATGCTGACATGCTTATAAATGTCTGTCTTTGCATCAGGCTTGGAAGAAGCAAAAAACTAAAACAACATATAATCTGCCCTGAACAGGTCCCAAAAGTACCTGTGCTTTTCTGATCAGGGTTTATGTCTGTGAAAAGCACAAAGCAATTTGAGTAAGGAAATTTTATTTGTAAAGTCAGTCAAACCACAAAGGGGTTTTGGTAAGAAAGTGGTTTGAATTGAAAATACTGCAACTCTGCCACAATTTCATTATGCCCCAACATAAAAATCTTTGCTTAAAGTAGCTGGCAATACGTTTGTCATTCTGACTAGCCAAGGAAACCACACTACTGGTGAAGCCATATCCTCTGCAAATTGTAGAACAAGTCTGCAGCTCAGAGCAGAGGTGGAACACTGCAGTAATTTCAAATGCCACCCTCCTCTCCACAATTGCTTGCCTCTTCTCTAACTGTGGAATGAATCATACAGATTCAGGTTAATGCCAGGGCTAATGTATGCTGGAAATGCTGACCCTCTCCCAAGGGTGGCTGAGCAAGCTATGCAACATTCACTAAGAAGCAATGACAGAGACCCCATTTCCCTATAACTGAAAGAAGAGCCCACCCATGCCACTCAGCATGTCAAAATCCTCATTTTCTTCTGATGAGGACACTGCTAAGGCCATTCACAGATGCCTTTTTTGTGATCACTTTAAGAAACAGTAAGGTTGACTTATTTGCCAATTAAACCCAAACTAGTTCTGTGTCTGGATGGTCACCCCTGGGGCTGCAGCTCTGGCCCTCGTGAAGAAACAAGCTCTACCTCTGGAGTGACTTGGAGTATCTGCTAATAGGCCAGACGGAAGTCTGGTCACTTCACATAGAGCTGTCACCTTCATGGCAGGACCCTGAACCCAGAAATAAGCAGACATTGGTGTTATTCTATGTTCACTGGTTTTTCACTAGATGACTTATGAAACAATCTCTGTAACTCTGGAGAACCAAAAAAAAAAAAAAAGCCCACCCTAAAAAGCTGCTGAGAGAGAATTGTCAATTGTCAGTTAAAGACTTGGGGAACACTCAGCGACTCATCCTGTAATCCCAGCACTTTGGGAGGCTGAGGCGAATGGATTGCCTGAGTCCACGGGTTCGAGACCAGCCCAGGCAACTTGGCAAGATGTAGTTCCAGCTACTTGGAAGGCTGAGGTGGAAGGATCGCCAGAGCCCAGCAGGTCAACGATGGGGTGACGGTGAGTGTACCACTGCACTCCAGCCTGGGCAACAGAATGAGACTCCAACTCAAAAAAAAAAAAAAAAAAAAATTGGGGGAACATTCCTTGCCACTTGAATGACCAAGTTAGGCCCCAAAGTCATCTGTCAAGAGGAAGCCTGGGGAGCCAAGAGGAAGCACTAAAAGAAGTGCTTCTGTATGCTGTAGCCCATCTGTCTACAAGGATGTTTGACTTCCGAAGACCCTGCTACTAAAAAGTGGATGTGGCCAGAGACAATATACAGACTGAGAACATGGGAAATGACAAATCACCTACTCAGCCAGTGTTGCATGGGGTTTTGTGCTCCTTGACGTAAGCAAGTTCTCATCCACCAAACTGAGTGAGGAGAGCTGGAATGTTCTGTGCACTTACAAAGCTTTGGGAGTGCAGTACAGTGTGTGTTGTGAACTGATCTGACATAAGGGATGAACTATATACTACCACATCTAAGAAAATTCCCAATTTCAACTTCTAAGTTAAGAATTTATTTTTGAATTAATTAAATATGAAGTAATTTAATCATATAATTTGGATTTCATTTTGTTTTAGAAAGCTCGCATTAGTTTCAGTTCACATTAATTTTTTGCAATTCAGTGGTTTTTTAGTATACTCACAGAAGTTGTAAATCGTCACTACCTAATTTACAGAACATTTCCATCACTCCAAAAGCAAAACTCTGTCATCATTAGCAATCACACCTATACCCCACTATCTCCAGCCCCTAATCACTAACAGAAAGCAACCACTAACCTCCTTTTTCTTGCTGTAGATTTGCCTGTTCTGAACACTTTATATAAGTGGTATCATACAACTATGTGATCTTTTAGCTCTGGCTTCTTTCACTTAACATGTTTTTATGATTCATCCATGTTGTAGTAGGTATCAGAACTCCACTCCTTTTTATAGCTGAAATATTCCATTATATAAGATATACCATGTTTTGTTTATCCATTCACCATTTGATGGACACTTGGGTTGTTTCCACTTGCTGGCTATTAGGAATAATGTTAAGAACATTTGGCTACAAGTTTTGTATAGATATATATATTCAATTATTTTGGGTCTATACCTAGGAGTGGAATTACTGGTTTAATTTTTTAAAGAATAGTCAACTTGTTTTCCAAGTGGCTGCACCACTTTACATTCCCACCAGCAACGTAAGAGAGCTCCAATTTCTTCACATCCTCATCAACATTTTTATTGTCTGTCCTTTTGATTACATTCATCCTAGGAGAGTTTATATTAATTTCTGCATGAAATATCGAGAAATGCAATTCTCTGTAAAGACTTTTACTAGCCTACAAGAAAAGTAAGTTTCCAATGCAACAAACTAAAATTTAGGTACAAGGAAAGGGTTAATGACTGATATTAGATTTTCAGAGAGATCTGACACAAAACCATTAGGAAACACTAGTCTAGATGGACTCTCACAGTCCTTGGACTCAGACATTCTGCAGGTTAGAAAGCATCTGGTGTCTCACTGTAGTCAAATGTATTTCAACTTTTTGTCTTGTGGGTAGTAAGACATAACAGAAAGCCAGAGAACTTTTTGTCAGCAGCATAGGGTGTCTCTGCTTCCAAAGAGCTGAGGACTTCACTTTCTCTCTCAGCTAGCTAGAGCCATACTCAGAGGGAGGCATCACTGGGGTGATGTCACTCACAGAGGAGGCCACACCTGTGTGGGTATCCCAAGAACCTTGAATTCTGCTTCGCCATGATGTGTTAGGACTTGAGATGTCCTGAGTGCTTGTACCAGCAGGACAAAACATGCACCAGTAGTTTTGCTCTCTCTTACCTCTCAGAAGTTTCCAGGGACAGGCTGGCTTTCTCATCCTTGTGATCACTGCCACTGCCTGACCGGTGCAGGCTCCGACGGGAGTGTTTACGCCGAGGTTGCTCCCGTTCTGGTGTGTCATCCTGCTCCAGGGTCTCACTTTCCACATAAGGATAGGCCACCAAGTTGATGTATCCATCACTGTCCCCCTCAAAACAGACAGATACTACGCCTGTTGAAAAAAGGGCAGCCAGTCAACAAATGTCAACACAGGCTGAGCACGTGCAGCACACTGTTGGCACTTGCTTTCCCATAGTACACAGATATCACCTGCCCTGAACCTGTAGGAACAGCCATCAGACATCATCTTTCCAAAAAACAGAAGACCACCCACTCCATGCTAGGTCAGCTGCTTACCTCTGATCTTGGATAAATCTACATTTACTTCCTCCTCTTTTATTTAGCCCTCTCATTTTCATTTATTGATCTCTATAGCATCAAAAGAATAGTATTATCTAGGTGACATTCATACCAGGCATAACTTAACCCTCTGCTTATTTAACCGCTTTATGGTGGTGCCATTTCCCCTTCTGTGTCCTCCTTTAGATCTGGTTTCCTTCTGGTCTGACAGTGTTACCTAGAGAGATGTCAACATTTCTCCCTCCAAAATAGTCCCAAAAATAAGTATTCTGCCTACACTGAGCATCAGGTTATCCCTAGCCTTACTAAGCAGACCTCTGGCATTGCTAAGATAAAACACCTGCTTTCCATGCTGTACCCATGGAAAAAAGTTTGTTGAGTTCATTTTAATCAAACAGGTTGTTTGTAGTGTCTTCTGGATCACAGTGCTGAGTTAAAAACACAAATGATACCCATCTCAACCGTTCCTACCACAACAATTTTAAAAAGATATACCCAGAAACCTAACTCAAGGAGGAAGTTAAAATTTTTTTAAAAGTTCAGGTGGCCCTTTGTCTAACTTCCACATCCCACCTTCTGTCTGTCAGCTACATTTCTACCTTCTTGGAGTGGACAGCTGGCTCTACAATCTGAAAATCAGTGTGAAGCAGTTATGAAAATGTCAATATGCTAGACCACATTGACATCTGATCCATTTTCTTCTTTAGGTCGGAACTGCATGAATCTCTGGGTCCTTTTGGAAGAAAAATCCTTCCAACACCAAAGTGAATAGATTCTTTCCTCTTACAGTCCCATTACAATTCCTTTTTTTTTTTTGAGTTGAAGTCTCACTCTGTTGTCCAGACTGGAGTGCAGTGGCATGCTCCCAGCCACTGCAGCCTCGACCTGCTGGACTCCGGCAATCCTTCCACTCAGCCTTCCAAGTAGCTGGAACTACAGGTGCACGCTACCATGCCTGGCTAATTTTTTGATTTATTGTAAAGATGAGGTCTCGCCAAGTTGCCCAGGCGGGTTGTGAACCCACCCATTACATTTCTTAAACTCATACTTTACTTTAGAGAGCTTCACATATGTATCCTGGCTTGCTTATAGATGGCTGCCTCTCTTATAGGTTATTGCTTTTGTATATTTCTCCCTTTGTCTTTACCAGAGTCTTAATTTTGTTCAAGTTTGAATGCCCTCCAATCTTATCTCCTGGGCTCCCCTCCCCCTCATGCTGTGATCAAGAGTGTCCTCCAGGCCTGCCACACAGTTTCCATGCTGGGCTCTGCCCTGCTGCAGCTGACCTAGGGTAAGGGCCTCTACTTTTCCCTCTTTTGATCTACTCTCTAACTGGTGGTAGGGAGTATATGGAATATATCTTCAAGTAACTTGTCTAGAATATATCTTCAAGAAACTTCCTAAGAAAGGATGTTCAGGAGGTCAATCTTTTGAGTCCTTTGCTTAACTGATTAGTTTGGCTGAAGACAGAATTCTATGTTGTCTGCAAATACACCTTTGCTTCTTCCTTTCCAATCTGGATACTTTTTATTTTGTTTCCTTATCTAAGTGCACTGACCAGAATCTCCAATAAAATGTTGACTGGAAGTAGAGAGCATAAACAACTTGGTCTCATTCCTTGATTTTAAGGGGAAAGCAATCATTTAATCATTAAATATGATGCCAGCTGTAGATTTTTCACAGAAGCCTTCTATTAAGTTAAGGAAGTTTTCTTCTATTTCTATTTTGCTGAGAGTTTTTGTTGTTGTTTTATCAAGAATGATAAAATGCTTTCTCTACATGAGATAAACATGTTTTATTTAAGCCGGGCTCGGTGGCTCAGTCTGTAATCCCGCGCCTTGGAGGCTGAGGTGAGTGGAGTGCCTGAGCCCACGGGTTTGAGACCCGCCTGGGCAGCAAGAGCTTATCTCTACAATAAATCAAAAAATCAGCCGGGCGTGGTAGCACATGCCTGTAATTCCGGCTACTTGGAAGGCTGAGGCAGAAGGATCGCCAGAGCCCAGCAGGTCGAGGCTGCGGTGGCCGGGAGCGGCCACTGTACTCCAGTCTGGGTGACAGAGTGAGACTCCAACTCAAAAAAAAAAATAAACAAACATGTTTTATTTTTAGCTTGTAAATATTGCAAATTTCATTGAGTTCTGAAGGTTAAATCAAACCTGCATTACTCAGATAAACACTGCTTGGTTATGATGTATTATCTTTTTAATATATTATTGGAGTCAGGTGCAGTGGCTCATGTCTGTAATCCTAGCACTTTGGGAGGCTGAGTTGAGAGGATTGTCTGAGTCCAGGGGTTCGAGACCAGCCTTGGCAACTTGGCAAGACCTCATCTCCACAATAAATAAAAAAAACTAGACGTGGTGGCACATGCCTGTGGTACCAGCTACTTGGATGATTGAGGTAGGAGGACTACCTGAGCCCAGCAGGTCGAGGCTGCGGTGGCCATGAGCGTGCGTGCCACTGCACTCTAGCCTGGGTGACAAAGTACACACACACACACACACACACACACACATAATTGCATTAAATTTGCTAAAATTTGTTATATCTTAACTTTTGTATCCTAAATTCATGAGAGATATTTGATTTTCTCTTAATAGGCTTATATAACTCACAGAATGAGTTGGGAAGTATATATATATATTTTATTATTTTCCCCCCTCCTCAAGGAGGGGGGAATCTCACTATGTTGACCAGGCTGGAGTACAGTGGTTATTCAACAGGTGCAATTAGGCAAACTACATGAATTCCTGGGTTCAAGCAATCCTCCTGCCTTAGGCTACTGAGTAGCTAGGACTATAGGCATGTGCTATCTTGCCTGAGTTTACGGAAACTGTCAGTATTTTTCTTAAATAATTGGTAGAATTCACCAGTGAAGGAAATCAGGGGATGGAGTTTCTTTGTGGAAATGTTTTAAACTACAATTTCAATTTATTTAATAGATAGAGCTATTCAGATTATCCATTTCTTCTTGAGGACACTTTGGTAGTTTTTGTCTTTCAATACTTTTGTCAATTTCATTTAAGTGGTAGAATAATTACTGGCATAAAGGTTTTCTTTTTTTATCTTCTTTATTATCTTTTAAATATCAGTAGACTACAGTAATGACATCTTTATCAATCTTGATATTGGAAATTTGTGTTTTGTCTTTTTCCTAATCAGTCTGTCTAGAAATTTAACAACGCTATTGTTCTTCTCAAAGAATCAGTCTTTGGTCCTTGATTTTCATTTATTTTCTTTATTCTTGCACATTTTTATACTGAATCATTTATCATTTTCTTACTGAATTGCACAAGTTTTCATATATATGCTTATGTATTCTAGAAACTAATCCTTTGTCAGTTATATATGTTATAAATACCTTTACCTCTTCATTTTCTTTAAAGATGCATTTTTTTTTGAGATGGAGTCTCACTCCGTTGCCTAGGCAGAGTGCAGTAGCACACTCAGGGTCACCTCGACATCGACCTGCTGGGCTCTGGTGATCCTTTTGCCTCAGCCTTCCAAGTAGCTGGAACTACAGGTGCACACTACCACATCTGGTTAATTTTTTTTTTTTTAATTGTAGAGACGAGGTCTCGCCAAGTTGTCTGGGCTGGTCTTGAACCCGCAGACTCAGGCAATTCACTCGCCTTGGCCTCTTCACTTATGTTGGGATTACAGGCTGAGCCATTGAGCCTGCTCTCTTTAAAGGTGCATTTTGATGAATATAAGTCTTTAATTTTATATAGTCAAATGTATCGACCTCTCCTTTTACAATTAACTATTTTCTTTCTGTCTTGCAGGACCACCTAATGCTACACTGAAACCTTTAATGTGTTCTGTAAGCAAATACCACTGAGCACCCAACATGCCACTGAAGACACAGAGCATTTCACCTGATCAGGGGAGAACTGGCTGTTGGTTAGGGCAGAAAGATGGCTTTACCAAGAATAAGTGAGATTTGGTTATTAAATGAATCATGCACTCTATTAGTTAAAGATTGAGGGGTAGTACTGATCTTTCTTTTTTAACCTTATCAGTCACATCTAATTGGAATGAAATTAGAAAAATAAAAATCAATGGTTTTTTAATTCGTCTGATATAGGCCCTAATTTTCTTGGCATTTGTAAGATTAATTAAATAGACTCTGGTTATATTTGGGTAGAAGTTTTGTTATTGTTTTTAGCTATATTTTGTATTTACTTTTAAAATTGTGATGTTTCATGTGTGTATATATATTATATACATATATAAAACAAAAATATTGCCTTTTAACCATTTTTAAATGTACAATTCAGTGGGCATTAAATACATTCACAATATTGCATAGCCATCACCATTATCATTTCCAGAAGTTTTTTCATCACCTCAAACAAAAACATTGTACCCATCAAGCAGTAACTCCCACTTTCCCTTTTGGTTTCCATCTACTTTCTGTCTCTACAGTCTTACTGATTGTAGATATTTCATATAAGTGAAATTATACAATTTTTGTCCTTTTGTGTCTGGCATAATATTTTTTAGGCATAATTTTTTTGAGGTTCATCTATGTCATAGCACATATCAGAACTACATTCCTCGTTATGGCTGAATAATATTCCATTGTAAGTTTTGCCACATTTGTTTATGTGTAATTACCTTTTGATATACAATTGGGTTGTTTCAGCCTTTTGGCTATTGTGAATAATGCTGCTGTGCACACTAGCTTGCAAGAATTCATTTGAGTGCCTGTTTTCAATTCTTTTGGGTGTATACCTAGGAGTGGAATTGCTGGATCATAAGGTAATTCTGTGTTTACCTTTTGGAGGAGCTGCCAAACTGTTTTCCACAGTGATTACACCACTTTACACTTTTATCAGCAACTTTCCTACTTCTCCACATTCTTGCCAGCACTTATTTCCTGTTTTTGTTTTTTGATTATTCTTGCCATCCAGTGGGTATAAAGTGATATCTCATTTTGGTTTTGACCTGCATTTTCTTAATAACTAATTATACTGATGTACTATTGGCCATTTATATAGCTTTCTTGGAAAAATCTCTATTCAAGACCTTTGTGAAGTTCTGAATAGGGTGGTTTGCTTTTATTGCTTTCAAAACATAATCAGCAAAACACTAAATTTGAAAGAATAAATATTCTAAGGCTGTAAAATGAGAGAAATCAGAATCAAAGACACTGCTTTTTCTATGTGGTTAAGAAATAACAGTCCCAAATGTCTTATAAAGGTAGCATCAGCTGCCTATGCATCAACACTCAACACGTCCAAGGCCAAACCTTCTGCTATAAATATGCCAAAACCAGAAAAAGAACTACAGGTCCTATTAGCTCATGGAGTTCTGCTGATGCTAAGGAAAAAATGCTTAAAAGGGAATTGAGCTTTGGCTCCAGATAAATGTTCTCTAAATCACAACTACCAGAATTGGGACAAGACAATTTAGAACTTCAAGGTGCCTCCCAGGGAACGACTGGCAGTTTCTAACATTGGTTCAATGCTTCCCCACGCCTTCTTTCAGAACGGGTAACAGGTATCTTTTTATTTATTTATTTATTTTTGAGTTGGAGTCTCACTCTGTCGCCCAGACTGGAGTGCAGTGGCATGATCCCGATCACCGCAGCCTTGACCTGCTGGGCTCTAGTGATCCTTCCGCCTCAGCCTTCCAAGTAGCCGGAACTATAGGCGCATGCTACCACACCAAGCTAATCTTTTAAAAATTTATTGTAGAGATAAGGTCTGGCCAAGTTGCCCAGGCGGGTCTTGAACCCACAAGGGTCAGGCAATCCACTCGCCTTGGCCTCCCAAAGTGCTGACTGGGATTACAGGCTGAGCCACCGAGCCCGGCGTGTAACAGGTATCTTTAAAGGCTATAACAAATCCTTAGGATCTACTTGATTTTCTTTACACAGGCTACATTTTCACTAGGGAAGAATAAATATGCTTTCTCAAAAGTACAATTCCATTAAACTAAAAATAATTCCTTCTAAGTCAAATGCACTCAATTTGTTCAAAGAAAACACAAGAATAGTGGAAGATATTATTAGTCAAATTAATATGTTTCAGCTGGGCGCAGTGGCTCAGGTCTATAATCCCAGTTACTCAAAAGGTTAAGACAGGAGTATCACTGATGCCAAAAGCTTGAGACCAGCCTGGGCAACATAAAAAAGCAAGACTCCATCTCGTAAAAAAATATATATGTACTTATATTTTTTTCCAAAGACCTTCAGCATAAGATTTTTACTTTTTTTTTTTTTTTTTTTTTTTTAAGCTGGAGTCTCACTCTGTTGCCCAGACTGGAGTGCAGTGGCTGCTCCCAGCCACCGCAGCCTCGACCTGCTGGGCTCCAGCAATCCTTCCGCCTCAGCCTTCCAAGTAGCTGGAACTACAGGCGCGTGCTACCACACTCAGCTAATTTTTTGATTTATTGTAGAGATGAGGTCTCGCCAAGTTGCCCAGGCAGGTCTCGAACCCACAGACTCAGGCAATTCACTCACTTCAGCCTCCCAAGGCACGGGATTACAGGCTGAGCCACCAAGCCCAGCTGATTTCTACTTTTGAAATAAATTTTAAATTACAGAAAAGTTGCAAAATAACTGATCTCCCATATACCCTTCTCTCAGCTTTAATGCTAACATATAACCATAGTACAATTTACCATTATTAACAATGACATAATACTATTAACTAATCTGTACACTTTATTCAAATTTTGGCAGTGTTCCTACTAACATCCTTTTTCTGGTCCAGGATTTCACACTGCATTTTATTCTCCTTATTCTCCTCTCATCTGGGACAATTCCTCAGTCTTTGTCTTTAATGACCTCAACTCTTTTTCTTTTTTTTCTGAGGCAGGGTTTCACTCTGTTGCCCAGGCTGGAGTACAGTAGCATGAAAATATAGACATATGGAGTTTATATAGTTTAAATTCTAGATTTGGCCACTGCAACTCTGGTAAAGTTGGCTCTTATGTACTTTTTTTTTTTTTTTGAGTTGGAGTCTCACTCTGTCACCCAGGCTGGAGTACAATGGCATGCTCATGGCCACCACAGCCTCGACCTGCTGGGCTCAGGTGATCCTTCCACCTCAGCCTTCCAAGTAGCTGGAATTATATGCACGCACCACCATGCCTGGCTAATTTTTTGTTTTATTGTGGAGATGAGGTCTCATCAAGTTGCCCAGGCTGGACTTGCATCCATGGGCTCAGGTAATCCTCTCGCTTCAGCCTCCCAAAGTGCTGGGATTAGAAATGTGAGCCACCACGCCCAGCCTTTTGCATACTTTTGACTACTTTTCTAATTTCTGTCATCATAAGATGTTCCAGGCTCACCTTGTGTTTTTCTTGCCCCAACTCAGGAACCAACCATTCCACCAGGGAGCTCTGTTTTATTTTATTGCAGGAATGGTATTTAGAAAAGTCTGGATTTTGGTACTAGATGTACTGATTGCTACTGAAGTATCATCATTTTTAGGCTCTTTCAGCAGACAGAGCTAGAAACCACATGTATGAATACTAACCCATGCATTTATTGCCATGGGCACAAGTTTTAAGCTCAACCAAGCCAAGGAAAAGTGTCAATAATATTCCATGGCTTGTTAGTAGATTTAAAAACAAATTTTCATTTATTTCATATAAACAGCCACAATCACCAACTGCTACTGCTTGTGGTACTAAATGTTAAATTCATGCTTCTGTATACTCATGCAAGTAAGCTCTGTCTCATTCATTTATCAAGAATTTGCTGACCATCTACTAGATCAGACCCCAAGCTCATTAGTATAAAAGACAAAAGGTCAGCCAGGTACAGTGGCTAACTCCTGTCATCCCAGTACTTTGGGAGGCTGAAGTGAGAGGACTGCCTGAGTGCAGGGGTTTGAGATCAGCCTGGGCAACTTGGCAAGACTTCGTCTCTACAATAAACCAAAAATTTAGCTGGACGTGGTGGTATATGCCTGTAGTTCCAGTTACTTGGAAGGCTGAAGTAGAAGGATTGCCTGAGTCCAGCAGGTTGATACTGGGGTAGCTGTGAGCGTGCCACTGCACTCCAGCCTGGGCAACAGAATGAGGCTCCAACTCAAAAAAATAAAATAAAATAAAGTGAGCTGCCAGGGCAGTGACTCAAGACTTCCAGCACTTTGGGAGGCCAAGGTAGGATTGCTTGAGTCCAGGAGTTCGAGACCAACCTGGGCAATGTAGTGAGACCTCAACTCTACAAAAAAAGACTTTTAAAAAATTAGCCAGGCATATTGGCGTACTACGTAGTCTGTAGTCCCAGCTTCTCAGGAGGCTGAGGCGGATCGCCTGAGCAAAGGAAGTTGAGGCTATGATAAGACATGATCATGTGCCTCTGCAACTCTAGCCTGTATAAAAGAGTGAGACTCCGACTCAAATGCACTTTTCAAGGTCTAAAGACCTTGCTGATGCTTCCAGTCTCTAATTTTGCCTAACAAGTGACTTAGCTGCTTTCTGACAACAAAGACATACAATCACATCATATGGCAAGCAAAATAAGGAAAACTGAAGGATCTATAAGCCCAAGGCTGCTGCTCTCACTAAACTGACCAGTGACTGACCTTTGTATTCAGGGGTGAACTCCTTCATTTCAGGAGGGAGGGACTCGTAAAAGCGCTGTTCCCGGGAGATGAGGGGCTTGCACACAGTGTGGTCGTCATAGCGCATCATGCTGCTGTGTCCGCCTACTTGGTGGATGAAGGGCTCCAGGAGAACTCCACGGTCTCCAGCCCGACTTGCGTTCTTGCCATACTGCCCCACTTCCATGGTTTGACAAACACACATTGCGTTGGGGGCCAGGTGCACACTGAGGGCAGAGGATGCAGCACATGGGCCACAAAAGGAGAGCTGGGTAGAAGGTCCTGGCAAGCTGAATGCCAAGGGTCAGATGCTATTCAGCTTATTATTCTGTCCTACAGAAAAGAAGAGGAGGGAATCAAAACATATGGCAAGTCTCAGTTTCCCTGGAGCTCCATGAGTGAGAGCAGATACTTTGTTGTGTTCCCTGCTATGTGTACTATCTGGCACATGAGAAGAGGTTAGTAAATGTTTGTTGAATGATGCAACTTCGGTCTTCTCCATCTACCTTTTTGTGTACATTCTCTTCCTTTTTGAGTTCTCAGATCCCTTCTAAATTCTATAAACGATTTTATTTTGAAACTACAGCATGTTACAACCACCAGGAAAGCAACAATCCCAGTGTACTTCACATTCAAAGATGAAAAGATCAGAAAAAAAACAAGGCATCAAATGTTCTGTTCAGACTCCTCATGATATCCAGTACTGGTAAAGATCTGTCCTTGATTCAAAGGAAGGGTTTTTGCCTGAGATATCAGGTACACTAGATTCCAAAATTCTCCATTGAAGGTGCAAAGGATCAAGCAGGAAAAGCCATTCCTTGCTGAGCTGCAGAATCATAAGAAAGGTTATGCTTTACCCAAAGGAATTCAGGTTTCACATTTCTTCTCTAAATCTATCACAGTCAATTTATAACCATATCTAACACCATAGAGGTTCCCTTTCCGTCTACACCAAAGGGGGGACAATAAAAAGCATTTTGTACTCAAACACCCTCCTTCCACTGTTAATTGTCTCTCAAGAAAGTTAAAACAGTTGGCAACTTTCTTAATACTGAGTATATTTTAAAATTAGGAATGTAGTAGGCAAGACTACATTTGAAAGATTAAGACCAAAAAAGGAAAAACAAAATATATGTAGAGCAGGAATATGGTCCTACCTGCAAGAGATAAACTATTAGGTTTTTGGGGGGTTTTTCTGGATCTCATAATTATGGGTAAAACGGGTTATACAAGAATACCACCGCAAAACTGTAATATGCTCTTAACCCAAGCAGCTATGATCTATTCACTGCTATCATTGAAGTAAATTATTCTCTACCCCTACTCTCCCAAACAGAATGCACTGTTTTAATGTACACATACTTTATTTAAACCTAGTTATCCAATCTCTAGTCCTCCTTCAGGACAAGGCAACTCCTTGCCCCACAGAGTTTTCCCAGAATCCATTCTCTCCAAACCTGAGTATGGTACATACTTACTTCTATGGCTCCTAAGGTACCCTGTGCCAACTCTACTGCATCAATATACCACCATACTGTCACCTATTTACTTATGTGCCATCACCACCAAACCATTCTCTCTTATCTCCATATCCAGAGTCCAAGGCAGTTCCTGACAGGCACAAAGTGCTCAAGAAAAGATTTGTTGGAATGAATTAAATAATTCCAGGCAGAACACAGTAGGTAAAAAAAACAAAACATTAAAATAAATCTCAAAGAGTAAACATTTAGGGAAAAAAGTAGGAGGGCAATTGTGAAGTGCCTTTTCTCAAGGAGGGCAGGTCAGGGTCTCTGGAGGCACCCATTGTGGCAGTAGACCTTAGTACTGTTTTTTTGTGTGTTTGTTTTTTGAGTAGGAGTCTCACTCTGTCATCCAGGCTGGAGTGCAGTGGCCAGAGTTCCTTGACCTGCTGGGCACAGGTGATCCTTCCGCCTTAGCCTTCCAAGTAGCTGGAATCACAGGTGAATGTCACCATGTCCGGCTAATTTATTTTATCTTATTTATTGTAGAGGCGAGGTCTTGCCAAGTTGCCCAGGTTGGTCTCAAACCCCTGGACTCAGACAATCCTCTCACCTCCACCTCCCAAAGTGCTGGGGTTACAGGCATGAGCCACCACGCCCGGCTAGATCTTAGTACTGTTGATCTCCTTCTGCTCTGGCCTCAGTCAGGCCAGAAGGGGTTTATCTCTGGGTCCACTTCTCTGGAACAATACTGATTGAGAAGGAGTACAAAGGTAAAGGTGACATGGTAAATACTATATCCACGATTTGTGAATCATTGTAAGTTAGACTTAATAATAAGGAAAAAAATCAGTAGCATTTCTCTACACCAGCAAAAACAATCAGAAAATGAAAACTGTTTAAATATATCCCATTCACAACAGCAACCAAAACTACAAAATACCTACAAATCTTTACAAATTATGCCACACCAATGATAAAATGCTACTGAAGGATCTAAAAGAAGACATATTCCCAGTTCAAGTAAAAGACAGATAAAAATTTTTTTTTAATTTTTTTAGTGGGGTGTCTCCAGTCTGTCATCCAGACTGGAGTGTAATGTCAAGATCATAGCTCACCACAGCCTCAAACTCCTAGATTCAAGCCTTCCTTCCACCTCAGCCTCCAGAGTAGCTGGACTATAGGTGTGTGCCACCACACCCAGCTAATTTTTTTATTTTTTTGTAGCGAGAAGGTCTCACTTTTTTGCCTAGGCTGGTTTCGAACTCCTGGGCTCAAGCAATCCTCCTGTCTTGGCCTCCCCAAGTACTGGGATTACAGGCGTAAGCCACTGCACCTAATTTTTAAAATAATAAAATAAAAGAAGATATACTCATGTGAGGGGGTACTCAACACTGAAACACAATGCAATTTCAATCAAAATCCCAAGAGAATGTTTAATGAATCTGACAAGCTGACCCTATTCATGTGGAAGAGTAAATGCCATATCTAGCTAGCTAGACAGTAATGTAAAGTGTCATTACTGTTATGTCAGAGATAACTTGCCCTCTCAACTAAGCTCTTTATGAAATTATAGCAATTAAAACATAGTACAATATCTTGCAAAGAGATCGACAAAACAGAATAGAGATCTTAGAAACAGACACATGCTGACATGGGAATGGAGTGTATGACTGAGGTGGTACTGAAATGTCCATTTAATCAACTGGAAAAAGATGATCTTATGCTATTAATGGGGACAAAATCTAAACTGGATCTAAATGGGTAAAACTACACCACTATCTCCAACAGTACTCCAAAACAAATTCCCAACATATTAAAGACCCAAATGTGCAAAATAAAACTTTAGCGTAGTCAGAAAAAAATTTAAATGCCTTCTGACATTAGATTAGGGAAAATTTCATAAATAAAACATTAAACATGCAAGCCATAATGGAAAGCACTGACAAATTAGGACATATTATTTACATTTTTAACTGTTTTTGAGATATAACTTACATACCATAAAATTCACTCACTAAATGTGCAGTGCAATGACTTTTAGTAAAGTTACACAATTGTACAACTCTCCCTCAAATCCAATTTTAAAATATTTCTGGCTGGACGTGGTGACTCATGCCTATAATCCCAGCACATGGGGAGGCCAAAGCGGGAGGACTGCTTGAAGCCAGGAGTTCAAGACCAGCCTGGGCAACGTAGCAAGGCCCTGTCTCTACAAGCAAACAAACACAAACAATTTTAAAACATTTCTATCACCCCAAAAGAATCCTCATGCCACTTGCAATACCCCTGTTCTCACCCCCAACCACATTAAACTTGTTTTTTGTATAAAAGAACCACAAGTGAAGATAAAAATCAGACTAAGAGAAGTATTTACAATGTTTATAACTAGCAAAGATATTAACAGAATATATGAAGAATTTCTATAAATTAATGTGAAATAAAACCCAGCAAAGTTTAAAAAGGCAATTCACAAAAGAGAAAGTTCAGATGGCTAATGAACATGTGAAAATATGTCCATCGTTCACAAGTAATCAGGAAAACACAAATTAAAACAAAAAATAATTTCATCCCATAAGATTGGCAAAAAATAAAAACCTAACATATCAAGCATTGGCCAGCCAGGGAGAAATGGCTCCTTTCCCTTGTTTATGGCAACCCAAAACCCAAGACATATACCTTCCACAACTCAGCACGTGCCCAAGATGATAGATTCAAGGATGTCCACTGCAATATTGTTATAAAAGAAAAATGAGAAACCACATAAATATACTTCAAGGGAAGAATGAATAAATGCATATATACATAAACTGTACAGTATTGAATAAATGATCTACATGTCCACATAAACAAATTTTAAAACCAAATTGGAAAAAGCAAGTTAAGAAGTGGCATTTCTTTAAAAAAAAAAAAAGTGGTATTTCTGAGCCGGGCACAGTGGCTCACGCCTGTAATCTCAGCACTTTGGGAAGTGGAGGCAAGAGGATTGCATGAGCCCATGGGTTCGAGACCAGCATGGGAAACTTGGCAAGACTTCATCTCTATAATAAACCAAAAAAATTAGCCAGGTGTGGTGGCGCATGCCTGTAGTTCACTTGGAAGGCTTAAGTGGAAGGATCACATGAGCCCAACAGGTCGAGGCTGCAGTGGCCATAAGCATACCACTGCACTCCAGCCTGGGTGACAGAGTGAGACTACAACTTAAGAAAAAAAGAAGTGGTATTTCTAATTCGATGCCACTGCTGTAATTTTTTAATTCATACTATATTATACATGAATTTATGAACACATATGCATAAACAAAAACAATGATATGAAATGGGGCCAGGTGAGGTGCTCATGCCTATAATACCAGTACTTTGGAAGGCTGAGGTGGGAGGATCTCTTGAAGTCAGCAGTTCAAGACCAGCCTGGGCAACAAAGGAAGACTCTGTTCACTACTAAAAAAAAAACAAAAAAAAAAAGCCCCAAAGATATGGAATGGAAGGGTATGCACCAACTTTAGAGAAGGACAGAAAAGGAGAGGACTGGTATCTAAGATAAGAATTTCAGCTCTATCTATATTTTTTAAGTTTCTTTTTTAAAAGTTTGAAGCAAATATAGTAAAATGTTAACATTTAAAAATCTGTATGTCAAATACATCAGTATTATAGTATTCTCTAAATTTACATTTCATAAAAATCAAAACTACCACAATGCTAAAAGCCTGGTGTTAATACACAGTAAATGATAGGGGAAAGAACATACTAGCAGTCATTCCAAGGTTGCATATGAATACCAACACAGTCCCCAAAAAAGGTGGGAGGAAAATATTAGAACCTTTTGATCTGTTCTCTTCACTTGACCTTCAAGCACTACGCTCTGCTCATCTTC